GATCACTGAGCCAAGCAAAGATGGTCTGTCCAGTTCTTCTCAAAGCAAAGGAAGTAGACACCAACACTTGCAGACATGAGGCTGATGTTCCTACCCTTCTCCCCCACAGTTTACCCCTCTGTACATCCACCCCTAAGAGTCAGACCTTCCCGTACTCCAGGAGCATTGCCCAGTCCCAGAGTCTAGAAATTCTTTTGCCTTCAACCCTCCAAAAAGGAAATATTAAACAAAAGGCAGTCTGTCTGGGCTTTGCGTTGCTGTAGAGAGCACAAAACTAGAGGAAGAATGACATTCGGGAAAATACCCACAGTGCTTGTCCCCGGGCCTCTTTTATTTACAGCCTCTGTTGTGTGATCTGTGCAGTTCTAGCCCTAGGTTTGATCACAGGATCCAAAAGTACAGTAAGCATCAGCTAAAAAGGAATGTTTCCCTTAGGGTCAGGTACTATTTGAAATCCTGACTTTGAAGTTTAGGACTCAGCCCCAGGCTTTGAGTCAAGGCTCCGCCAGTGCCCTGCCTGGTCTTCCCTCTTTCAGCCACAACAAGAAGCCCATGTCTACTTGCAGCACTTCCATTCCCCCTCAATCCCCCTGCACTTGGCCTTTCCCTTCTCCCTGCCGCAGACATCCAGCTCCAGAGCTTAAAGGTCCCTGGGAATGAGGGTCATCTACTAAGGCAGGTTTCCTTCATTTGTGGAGTTTTCCCAGAGTCTGTTAGGTTCTGAGTTTCCAATGGCAGGTTTCTGCCACAGGTTGTGGGGGAAGATCTTCACCTCAGATCAGTCCTTTCCAGACCTATCCCAGGCAAGGAAATAACTAACTTTCTGAGATGTAAAAGGTTTTACTTCTGAGCAGCCATAAGAATCTTTTTCTGCCCAGTTCCCGGTGTGTGAGGGCTCCTACAGGCCTCATCTGGGACCTTCCAAATTCATTAGCTTTGAGGGATATGAGTTTGGTGGAGGCGGTAAAGAAGAAAGGGGATTTTTTTTTTTTTTTTTTTTTTTTGCTAAGGAAGATTCGCCCTGAGCTAACATCTGCTGCCAATCCTCCTCTTTTTGTACATGAGCCACCACCACAGCATGGCCACTGACAGACAAGTGGTGTAGCTCCACACCCAGGAACTGAACCCAGACTATCAAAGCAGAGCACACCAAACTTAACCACTAGGGCACCAGTGCCAGCCCAAAGAAAGGGGATTTTTAAAAGCCCAGCAGAATATCTAGTTCAGGCAGTCCCAAGAAGAGAGAAAAGACAGGTGGGCATCAAATTCACAAAGAAAGTCTTCATCCTGCTGAGGTAGGGTACAGCTCAGAGCTCCCCGGGCATGTGGGTACAGCTGTTCTCAGACTGGGTGTCTGGCCTCGACTGGCTCCCACCCAGCAAGGAAGACTGAGCAACATAGCAGTGGCGTGCTGGGCGTGGGAGAGCTCTACCTTCTTCAAATTTGCCTTGTGGTTTTATTTTGCAAGAGCAAGCCCCTGGTGTGCATATCTTCACCTCTTGTGTCCCCTTTTATATTGTGAGTTTAGTGAGGCCTCGCCATTTATAAAAAGCCACAGATTTCATAGCAAAGATTTTATAATTAGAGCTCCTTCCTTTCCCATCTGCTCCAACTTTGCATTAGTCAAACATCTTAGGCTTTTAAGTTTTCAATTTTCACATCGTAAGCAAAAGAGCCAGTGGAGGATGATTTCCTGGGAGAACAGCTGGACTGCACACAGCTGTGGATTCCATTACAGTGACATGGACTAATTGGCTATTTCAGGATGCACTGGGAATGAGAAATGCTTGGGTCTCTGTATTAGTTTTCCTTTGCTGCATAACAAACCATCCCCAGGCTTAATAGCTTAAAACAACAATCATTATTTATTATCTCATGGTTTCTGTGGATCAGGAATTCAGATAGGGCACGGTGCGATGGCTAATCTCTGCTTCCTGGTGGCTGGGGCCTCAGCTGGAAAATTTGAAAACTTGTGGGGTGGAACGACTTGCCAGGGCTGGAGGCTGTGCTGCCAAGTTGGCTCAGTCACAAGGCTGGCAAGTTGGTGCTAGTGGGTTGGTTCCTCTCCACACAGACCTCTTTACAGGGCTTCTTGAGTGTCCTCTCCAGATGGTGGGTGGCTTCTCACAGACCAAGAAATCTAGGAGACCAAGGTAGAAGCTACATCTTTTATGACCTAGCCTCAGGAGTCACACACTGTCGCTTTGGCCATATGCTATTGAACACAGAAGTCAGCCCTGATCTCATGCAGGAGGGGACCATGCAAGGGCATGAAGACCACTGAGTGCCCTTTTGGAGTCTGGCTACCATAATCTTCCCTCTGGACTTAAAGGGTCCATGTCCCTCTTATATGCAAAACATACTAACTCCCTCCCCAGGTCCCCAAAAGTCTCATTCCTTTCTCTGTTCAAAGTTAAGGATCTCATCATCTAAATCTGTTCCAGGTCTGGATGATGCTCCTCAGGTATATTTCCTCAAGTACAGCTGTTTGAGTACAGTTCTTGATCTAAAGATCCATGAACAAAAGACACAGCTATTGGCGCCAAACAAACCCAACATACAAGGTTGGGACAGGCATAGTATAACCACTGTAGACACTCCCAAAAGGGAAGACTATGGGAGGCACACAGGAGTCACCGATTATAGTGAATACGAAATCCATTAAGGCACATGTTGCCAGTTGCCTGATTAGGGCTAAAGGCTTGCAAATAACGGCTCTTGGCTCCACCCTCTGGACTCTTACTTCTGCCCTTCCTTTCATATAAAAGATAGACTGTGTTTGCAGTTGACCTAAAAGTGAGGAACAGGCTGGGAGCCCCGTGGGGCTGCACTGGAGCCGCAAAGGGAAGGCTAAGGAACCTGGGCTTGCTGGACTCAGGGTTGCTTGCGGGCGACTCAGGTTGCTTGGTGGCAACAGGCCTACCCGGAGGGAGCAGGCGGGTTCATGACGCAGGCAGAGAAGGTGGGATGGTGCCCACCTGGAGAAAGGGAGACCTTGCTTTGCCAATGCAGAGGCAGGATGCTGAGGTACAGAATCTCCCTGGGTCTTGGCTCTTACTTATCACCCACACATTTTTAGGCTGATAATCGATGCCTTCTTATCCAGGACATCTGGTATGTAACAGTTTCCCCAGCTTGAAATTTCAAGTATTCCCTTGAATAACCTTCCTCAGCCCCCTGGACAGGGGCTGCCTTGGCTGCTGTGCTGCGACAGTATTGGTCAACAGCACAGAGTCTTGCATCACACCCCACACATGTGGCTGGGTGGGGGCCCCAGGGGCCAGGGGTCTGTGGTGCTGTCCTCCTCTGGGATCCTCTGACTTGGGCATTGTGGCTGCAGTGCTCAGAATAAAAGGCCTGGTAGGTCAGAAGCATAAGAGGACCCTGAGCTGGGGCTGGCCCCAGGCCATATTGGGGGCCCTTCCAAGAATGGTTGGGGGGTAGACACTGTGGAAGGCCTAATCTTTGGACAGCCAATGTGGAACTCTCCTTTGTGCAACTGTCTTGTTGAATCAATCAGCAATTAGGATTTTTTTTTTCTTGATGGATGGACACTCTGCTCTGAAGTTTTCATATGCAAAATTTAACTTAGTAGTGGCCAGGACCCCAGGTGTTTAAATCCTTGCCTCAAGGCTGCACAGCTGTCTCTCTCAGGGAACTCCAATCCCTCACACCTGAGATTGGTTTTTCTATTTTGGACTAATAGCGACTATTTATTGGAAATTTGCAAGGCACTGTGCAACATATCACACACATTATCCTCAGTTGTTTCTTGCAGAAGCCCTGTGAGGTAGGTATTACATTCATATCTCACAGAGAAAGCAAGTTTCAAAAAGAATAAGGCGTTGGCCCATGATCAAACTGCCAGCGAGAAGCCAAACCATAATTTGAGCCTAACCTGTCTCCCAGGTTTTTTAAATAAGCAATATGAGTTAATAAACTCATAAATAACATAATTACTTTAGAAACAACCCCCCCCCAAAAAAAACGCCTGAACCTTTGGGTACATACAAATAGCCAAAAACATTTTAAAATACTAGATTTGAAGATCATTTGTAGTATTTTCCTCATAACATGAGGGACAAATCTGGGACAAGAGTGGATTCCTTGTTATTGTTATCACCCCATGTAAATTAAAAAACGTGGAGGAGAAAATCCTAGCTGAGGCCTGTAGCATGCAAAAACAAAAAAAAAAAGTAAAGACCTTAATAAACAAAACCCTTAAGAAAAACATTCAAGAGGCCTGAAAGTTCATTTATTTATTTTTGTGAGGAAGATCAGCCCTGAGCTAACAACCATGCCAATCCTTTTTTTTTTTTTTTAATTTATTTATTTTTCCCCCAAAGCCCCAGTGGATAGTTCTATGTCATAGCTGCACATCCTTCTAGTTGCTGTATGTGGGATGCGGCCTCAGCACGGCCGGAGTAGCCGTGCATTGGTGCACACCCAGGATCCGAACCCCGGGCCGCCAGTAACGGAGCTCAGGCACTTAACCGCTAAGCCACGGGGCCGGCCCCTTCCTCCGCTTTTTTTGCTGAGGAAGACTGGCCCTGGGCTAACATCCGTGCCCATCTTCCTCCACTTTATATGGGAGGCTGCCACAGCATGGCCTGACAAGCAGTGCCGTCAGTGCGCGCTGGGATCTGAACCCAGGCCGCCAGCAGCGGTGCACGAGCACTTAACCACTACCCCACGGGCCGCCCTGAGGCCTCCAAGTTTAATAAAACACAAGAGTTCAAGTAATTTTGTGCAACGGAGCTAAACTGAATGGAACGGGACCTGGCAGCGCTCCCACTCGACCCACTGGAAAGCTGACGGAGCACAAATGAACGAAATCGCTGTTGGCAGGGCGCGTCACCACACACGTGCACACTCGAGCCCCTCGCGCAGGCGCAGAGCTGGGCAGAAGGGGCGCGGCGGCGGGGGCAGGGCGGGTCACCACCCTCCCGCGCAGGAGTCCGCCCCGCCTCCCCGGGGCACCGCCCCGCTCTCTTCAGTTCCCGGCCTTGCCACTAGGGGCGGCCGCGGTCTCGCGGCGGCAGCAGCCGTGAAGCTGCGCGGCTGGGGTTTCCAGCCGGGCCCCTTTCCCAGCCGGGCTCCAGCATGGCTGCCCCCAGAGCTGCGGCTTGGGGAGCTGCCACGCTCTGGCTTTCCTGACAGCTCCTGGCTTCTGTGCTCTCCTCTTCCCCAGGCCACTCCAGCAGACATGTTTGCCAAGGCCTTTCGGGTCAAGTCCAACACGGCCATCAAGGGGTCGGACAGGTGAGGGAGAGAAGGGGCCTGCTCTGCCCGCCAGGGCACCCAGGCATCTCTCAAGCCCGGCTGGCCCACAGCCCTCTCTGGGCTCGGTCAGCAGACCTGGGGTGGAGGGCGAGGGGTACAGCCTGGGAAGGGTCCCCAGGGGGCAAGGGTGAGTTAGACAGACACATTTTGAGGGTAAAGATGGAGAGGAGGCCTGATTCCAGGCTGTCTTTTGGATATTCTAGTGAGTTTAAAAGAAAACGTTATTCAGTCCGCGCTGCAGTCTATTTAAGATGTGGAGGATGCAACAATGAAGGAACGCAGGATCCCTGCCCTCCAGAGAGCTTAGAGTCCCTCGGAGAGATCAGACGGGGCACCGAGAACTGCAAGCATTTGAGAAAGTGCCCAGTGATTTACTTGTGGGCAGGAGAGACAGATGAAGGGTGAGGTGGGAGAGGATGAGGCGCATGTGGTAAGGGGAACTCTACAGTGTTGCAAATGCAGGTATCACGTGGGGAATTTGGGAACCAGTGTTCTATAGTTCTTGGTGCCCTGGTATAGCTGTTAAATCATAAGCTGACAGATTTGCCAAGCATATGTGAGAAAGGAGGGTCTGAGGGCTAGGCATGGAGTCAGGAAGGCAGGGCTGAGTTTCCCATGTCAGGCTAACTTGGGTTGCTCACTGGGTCTCAATTTTCCTCTCTCTTTGTGAAATGGAAAGACGTGCCTCAGGAACATGTGAAAATAGATGAGACATTGGATGAGAAAGAGAATAGGATGTTTTGGAAGAGTGTGTGAGACTAGGGCGTCATAAACCAGACAGTCTTTCCTTGGCCCTCATGACTTTATAGTAAGTCCTTCTGAGTCCTCAATATTTATTAAAATCCATTCTGGCAGCATTCATACCAGGCGTTGGTGTGCTTTCTGCAGGAGAAAGCTTCGGGCTGATGTGACAGCTGCTTTCCCCGCTCTTGGAACTGATCAGGTCTCTGAGTTAGTACCTGGAAAGGAAGAGTTCAACATTGTGAAGTTGTATGCTCACAGAGGGGATGCAGTGACTGTGTACGTGAGTGGTGGTAACCCCATCCTATTTGAACTGGAGAAAAATCTATATCCCACAGGTATGGCAATAGGATGCAGATGGCCATTACTATAGCCCTTGCCTGACATCTGTTTCTCCTTATTTCCTCCATTAACCTCTCTTCCTTAAAACAGACAAGTGCAGAATCTGCCAATACCATCCCTAAGAATCTTTTTGGACCTAGTGGCAGTAGAATTGGGTCTTTCAAGACCAGAAACTGCTATAGGAGGGAGAAAAAAAGGGATAACACAGGGGCCAGCCTGGTGGCATAGAGGTTGAGTTCATGTGCTCCGCTTCGGCGGCCCAGGGTTCGCAGGTTGGGATCCCGGGTATGAACCTACCCCACTCATCAAGCCATCTGTGGCGGCTACCCACATACAAAAAATAGAGGGAGATTGGCACAGATGTTAGCTCAGGGACAATCTTCCTCAAGTGAAAAGAGGAGGATTGGCGACAGATGTTAGCTCAGGGTCAATCTTCCTCACCAAAAAAAAAGGCAGGGGGGCTAACACAGAAAGAGAGTGGTTGCCAAGGGAAGTTCTGAGATGAAGGAACAATAGTTTATAGTGGGTTAACTAGCGATGGAGCAGAGGTCTTGAAAAGGGTGGAATTTCAGGGCATGTAAAAAATGTTTCTTAAAACTATCACTAGCAGGATTTTCTTAGGATACTGAAGAGATACTGTGATAGGAAAGGAGCTGGAGTAATTAAACTACATACCCAGCTGTCTTAGTGATGTACTTCAGTCGAGATATCTCACAGGGATTCTTTCTTTGGTTCTGCCTGGCTCTCAGGATCTTTGCTTTCATTCTTTGTCACAGATCTCAGAGACTCAGTGTCCTTTTCTCTTTTCCATGGCTGCTGACACCTACTTTGTCAGTGGGGCTTTGTTTCCTCCCAGCTCGGCTGCACAGTGTGGTGCAGCCTCCTTCGGCCACTCCTGCCGCCACCCCACTTTGCTGCTGTACAAACACAGGCCTTTTTTGATCTAGTTTTACTGCTAATCACTATGGAAACAGAGGGAGTAAAAATAATAAACATGAGAAAGTTCCAAAATTTCTTACAGGCTGGGGCCCTGTTCTTAGGTTACGTCCTTCTGGGGTCATAAATGGAATCCTCGTTGGGTCTCTGTCCCCGCTTTTATCCACTGTGGCGTTTTCTGCTGCTGTAATCCAGGTGGAACAATAGGTGCCTCCAAGTCTCAAATGGCATCCAGTTTCTTAAGTCTCTGCCTTCTTCAAGAATGAAACCTCTTTGGGCATCCCCTCACAACCTTCTCTCTGGCTTTGAGTCGAGTTTCTTTTCTATATCCCAATTAGAGTGGCCTTAGTGGTTGGCTTTGCCAGTTCCCTAGGGGATTGACGTTTTGGCAATAAGTGTTTTCTGGGTCTGTTTTTGGACAGTGTACACCCTGTGGTCCTATCCCGACCTCCTACCAACGTTCACAACATGGCCTCTGGTGCTCGAAAAACTGGTTGGGGGAGCAGGTAAGAGGATTTTCCTAGTTTCTGGCTATTGGTTGAAACCTGCTTAGTAAGGGCCAACTACTTTAATAAATATACCAGTTTCCTATGTTCACATGGTTGAAAAATGGAATTTTTCTCTTATGTGTGTTGTGTCTCTCACTTGGCTGCTTCCATGAGCTCTCTGGGCCCCTCTGACCCTGTTGTAAAGCTTAAATAAGGTAAAGTGATGTGAAAGTGCCTGTGCACTGCTCTATGCTGTACTTTAAATCAATAAGCTGAATTCATGAAACCAGGATAAGATAGATCATGGAATTAGAACCCCTCTCAAGGGAAAAGGTCTGATACTTGGGTTGCCATTTTTTATTTTCATTATGAATAACGTAGTTGATACTTGATAAATATTTGTTTGTTGAGTGAATGAATAAATGATGAAGTGAAAGGTGGAATTAGATGGAGGCAGAATGTTAAGTTGTAATGCTTCTGTTTTGTTTGCTGCAGATTTGATGCTGCCAGGATTAGTGGTGCCCCCTGCTGGTCTGCCTCAGGTACAGAGGGGTGACCTCTGTGCCATTGCCTTGGTGGGGAACAGGTACTGTGCCAGTCTGCTGTGCTTTTGGGGGAAACAGGTAAAACTGGGAAGGGGGGAATGACAACTTCCAAAGCATATAGCTAAAGGATTAAAAGAAAAAAAAACAGGTTCTTCTGGAAGAAACAGAGAGTGGGCCATTAGGGGGATGGCACTGAGCCTGTGGGGCATCCGCACATTTGGGCCAAGTGTTTTTGCAGCTGCTGCTGCTTCTCCCTTTTTTTCCTCCAGTAATTTTAGATTTACACAAGAGTTGCAAAGATAGTACAGAGTTCTGATATACTCCTAACCCAGCTTCCTGTAATGATAACACCTTACTAAACCACAGTCCAGTTATCAAAACTAAGGAATTAACATTGGTACAATCCTATTAACACAATTACAGACTTTATTTGTATTTCCCCAGTTTTTCCACTGTGTATTTCCACAATGTATTTTTTTCTGTTCAAGAACCCAATCTAGGATACCACATTGCAGTTAGTTGTCAAGTCTTCTTAGTCTCCTATCTGTGACATTATCTTGGTCTTTCTTTGTCTTTCACAACCTTGACACTTTTTTCTGTCATCTGCATCACTTCCTGATCTTTTAACTTTTTAATAGCTTTACTGAGATATAGTTTATATACTATATAATTTACCTGTTTCAAATGTACAATTCAAGGATTTTTAATATATTTACAGAGTTGTTCAGCCATCACCACACTACTTCTTTTTAAAAATAAATTAGGAAGTAATCATATGAACATTTCTGAAAAATCGCTCCACGATCCTCTTCTCCTAAAAGTAACTGTTATCATTTTGATGCATATCCTTGCCAACCTTCAATGCATATATACATGTGCATATAAAAATGTATGATTTTGGGTATGTATGTTTAAAAATACAAACAGAATTATACCTTAAATTGTTTTTCATTTAAGATAGTGCAGACGTTTTCCAAGTTAGCAAGCACAGATATGCTGAATCTTTTTACCTGCTGTGTGGTGATGGAAGAAATCCTGTCCTAGTGGACGGTTATCTCCAATTTGTCTCTGTCACAAACAATATCTTACTGATGCCTCTAGGGACACCAGTGCCAATATTTTTCTAGAGTGGCTACTGAGAAACAGACATGTTAGGCTGAAGATCAATGAGCGTATTTTCTGTTGCCCTACAAAATAGCTGTATCAGTTTTCATTCCCACCTACGGGATATATGGAGCCTATTTCCCACGCTCTCACCAACGCTGGATATGATGGGTCTTGTTCATTTGTGTCATCCTGAGTGAAAAATGACATCTCGTTATTTTACTGATTGCTTCTTTGAGAGAGAAAGAGAGAGAGATCGTAGGCATGGGAGAGGTCAGTGTTTAAAGATCTTATTTTTGCTACTCATGTTCTCCCATTTTCCTTGAACCTTTTGGAACCGAGTACCTAGAAGTGTTTCCTTCTTTGTTGACCTGTAGCAAAATTTGCATTTGAAAAGAATGGTGGTGTCATTGTTTTTCCCCCAGTACTCTATCCAAGATAGGAGAAAACTATGTGAATACGTGTTTGGCCCGCTCAGTTTGGCCTTTACAGTGTAAATGGGGATGAAGCTTGGGGGTTTATTAAAAATACAAGCCATGTGAGACTGAAGTTCTTGAGCCATTGACCCTTCTGGGGGTGGAAGAAAAAGACTCCTCTTTTAGGAACTGGGAAAGAAGGCAGATTCAAAGTTTCTGTGGCAGGAGCTGACCTGTGGGCATAGTAAGTGGGAGCGCCAGGTTAGCAAACATTTTTTTAAGTTCAGGTGTCGGGAACTCTGCCCTTGAATCTTCTCCCCCGGGGCCAGGCGACCTTGCCAGGCTGTTTATTCCCCCACTGTTATCCAGCTGGTCCCCGATCCTTACCGGCAGTGTGTGAGCAGTGCTTGAGGAACACTGCGCTAACAGAGGTTTCCTATTTGGGCTTTGGAAGTTTTTATAGCTACTATAAATGTGGTTGTTTTTGATATTCTAGACACACCCAGTTCTTAGATAGTTACACAGAGCAAGCCCTGTTATAAAGAGCCAACTCAGAAGGAACCTTTCTGGCTGGCACCACTATTTCTCTCTTCTCTTCCCCAGGGCATCCCTCAGACTAATTCATGGTGTGTGAATGGCCTTCCTTCTGAGCTTCCTTGTAGGATGGCTATGCCTTCTTTAAAGTAGGAGAAGTAATTGCTATTTTTGAAGTTAAAGAGAGGAAACTTTAAATATCCTTTCAAGTCCTGCCTGGGTTTCATTCATAAGGGGAATAAAACAAACAGTGCTAACGTCAGCAGAGGAGTTACTTATGCAGAAGGGGAATGTTTGTTCAAGGGATTTTTGAAAGGCAGATGTATAGGTAATCTGAAGAAAATTGAGACTGGACTGAGTTTAGTTTTGTGATACAAGTGGATGCTTCAGATTTGTAACTGTGGTGCTTGTAGCACATATGTGGAAAAGTGGGCCTGCCGTGTGCCCTCCTGGAAGACTCCCTGACCCCTGTCTCTGGCCTCCTCCTTAGAGCCCCCGTTGCCATCGGAGTTGCCGCCATGTCCACAGCTGAGATGCTGACTTCAGGCCTGAAGGGGAGGGGCTTCTGTGTGCTCCACACCTACCAGGACCACTTGTGGTGGGTTCAGTGTTTCTTCTGTTTTACGGAGAGCCGGGTGTGGGGAGAGAGCACGGGGCCTGGGTTCAGAAGGGAGAGTTTTGGTCCCTGCTGTGTCCTTAGGCACGTTGCTGACCCCAGACATTAATTTCCTTGCTAAATGTGGAGAAAAGATTTGTTTTTTTTGCCTCTTTGGAGAAGAAATTACAGAGAACTTTGATTATTTTCTAGGTGAATTGAATCCTAGGCCTGGAGGAAGGCCTTAGGGATTGTCTGCTCTGCCTCTCAGTACAGTGATATTTCTCGTTTTTATAGCTCTGGTCTGTCTGGCCTTGTCTGCTATGCACATTTAGGCATCTTCTGGTCCCAGGATGAGTGCTGGGAAATTCTCACTTCTGAATCCCAGTCAAAGCAGAGTTGATTGTCAGGCACCAGGGAGATAACCCGGTTACTTTCATGTTGTTCAAATTTCACATCCCAGATCGCCTCCCCATTATGGAAGTTACACTTTCTCACTGTAACAGTTGCTTTCTGGAGCCGTATACCAGTTTATTTTCTGGTCATTTTACCGAAACAGTCAATAGCGCTTTTCTCAAAAGCAGTGTACCAGGTCTTTTGGCCGAGCTTCGTGGCCAGGTAAGATTCATCCTTACCTTTTTAGCCCAGTCTTGGAGTTACTCATTTACAAGGATTGGCCAAGCCTTGCTTTGCTGGAGGTACAGCCTCACCAGCCTGTGTTGAACAGACATTGGAGGGCTGCTCGCTGATATTCTCCCAGCACCTGGTTTTCTCTCAGTCTGAGCAACGGCAGTCAAGGTCACCTTGTCTAAATTGTTTTATCAGTGGCTGCCTCAGTCCCCCCTCCCCTACCTTTTAAAAATATTTATGGTATTTACCTGATCAGAATAGCCCAAACATACACCCTGGCCTCTCTGTTAACAATACTAATAAGCCTTGCTGCAGCTGTTAGTTAGAACTTAGTTTGATTTCTGTGATCTTGCTAAGATGAGGCTTTTTGCTTTTACTTCTCTGCATGCTCTGCTCTGTGGCGCCGCTATTTTTCCTGTTTTTCTAAGGCTTAGTGGCATAAAACCATTGTAATCTCTGCTCTGGAAGTTCGATCGCACTCTGACTGGGCGCAGAAGCGCTGAGTGTGCAGTCCTTGAGCAGGCCCGGTGTGTGTACTGTGTTACATCCTCTGGGTCTTGGCTTTATATTTCACCAAACTGCACTGCAGATGCATTTGCGATCTTAATTTTGTTATTTAATTCAAAATGGTTTTGTTTTTAACTCATATGACGGGAATACTTTTGGGGACTTCTCTTTAACTACTTTTTCTTTAATCTTTCTCTGACCAGGATGTCAGTTAATATTATTATTATTCCTTTGGGATAGGGAGGAGGCAAGGATTACTCTCCCATTTCAGAGATGAGGAAACTAGGGCATGGGACTTATCTGGGCCCATAATTGGAAATAGTGTTGAGATCAGAGCCCAGGCTCTCTGCCTTCTCCTGGACCCCCTTGCCTGTGGCTTTTACTCTTTCTGGACTCCAGCTGACCCCCTGACCAGGTTGGAGAGTGTTGTGGCTGCTGCTTGGTGTTTCTGACGTGAGATTTTTCCAGGCGATCTGGAGGCAAGTCCTCTCCACCGTCCATTGCTCCACTGGTCCTGGATCCCCTGGATCTCAGTGAAGAGAAGGAGTCTGTGCAGGCAGACCCTGCCCTGCAGGGAGACATGAGGCACCTGACCCTGGAGGGAGAGGAGGAGGAGGATGGGGAGGTTCAGCAGATGTGCGGGGAGAAGTCTCTCTCAGAAGCCTCAGAAGACCTCAGCGTTGGGGGCCTGAACCGAGACCCCACAGACAGCAAGACCCTTCAAGGTATGGCTCTGGGAGCGGCCAGGCCCATCTGCTCTCGGTTTAGGAGACTGACGCGCTCCTGTCTGCTTCTGACTGGCACCAGAGCTCTAGGAGAGGAGGGCAGGTCCTTGTTTTTGGTGAGGGTGGTGCAGCAGCCCTTTGACACCTCCCTGGGGAGTCTTTTCCACAGGGGTTGCGTTTCCCTGGGTGCCAGTCTGCCCTGGCATTTGGGCTGATGCAGCCACAGAGCCCTGTATGGCTTCCTCTGGCTCTGACTTCTCTGCCAGAGAAGCACTCACTCCCCTCTCAGAGGTCAGCCCTCTTTAAAGTCTCAGTGCTCGAGAGAGTCTGGGAGCTTTGCTCCCTGGGAAGGGTTCCTTCCAGAGCTAAGGGGTGAGGTAGGGGTGGGACCAGGCAGGGTTTTACATGTACTGCACCAGGTGTTCCGTGTCACTCAGGAAGGGTGTGGTTCTTGTCTTTTCCTTGCAGAGCAAATGGATGAACTGTTACAGCAATGCTTCTTGCAGGCTTTGAAGAGCCGAGTCAGAAAGGCTGACCTCCCTCTGCTCACCAGCACTTTGCTTGGCAGCCACATGTTCTCCTGCTGGTATGGAAGGCATGATGTGGGCTGGAGGCCAGGGCTTGGGTCTCTCTCTTGTTCCTTGGCTGTAGGACAGGACAGGGTTGGGGGGGAATTGGTTGAGGGACATGCTGTAGAAAGAGTAGAGTGGAGGGTTATTCTGGCAAATAAACTGGGTCCTGAGTTTTAGAACTTAAATTTTAGCCAGTGAAAGGATGTGAAGGAGATGAAGGTTAAACTTCCCAAGATTCTCTGAGCACTGCCTCTGCTGTCGTGGTTCTGGGCTGTCTCTTGCGAATCTGGCAGCATGTCCTATCCAGGAGGAGTCCTGGGGCAGCCTTTTGTCAGGAGGCTTCTTCTGGAACGTTCAGCCCCCTCACACTTCTGAAAAGCAGGTGGGCCAGATTAGGTTGTACCAGGAGGAAGAATCGGTGTGAACCCCTAGCCCGCCTCCAAACACAGGCCGTCAAGAGAGAGAGGGTTACATGTGGATGAACCTGGACTTGGAAGACAGAGCCGTCTGGGCCCAAATGCCAGCTCCCAGGCTGTTGGAGTGAATGTGAACTCGTTACCGGGCTTTTCTGAGCCCAAATTTCCAGCACTTGTAGGAATGCTGTCAAGATTAAATAGCCTGACGTTTAATAAGCACCCAGTAAATATTATCATGTCAGGAAGTTTGCTCATTGATTTTTACCCTAAGACTGAACTTCTTTCTTTTTGAGAATTTTGCTTTGTTTTTTAAAAAGTCATTTTAATGTAATTCTCTTCCTATTTACATGTGGGTTTCTTTTTTTTTTTTTTTTTTTTTTTTGTGAGGAGATCAGCCCTGTGCTAACATCTGCCAATCCTCCTCTTTTTTTGCTGAGGAAGACTGGCCCTGGGCTAACATCCATGCCCATCTTCCTCCACTTTATATGGGACACTGCCACAGCATGGCTTGACAAGCAGTGCGTTGGTGTGCGTTGGTGTGCGCCCAGGATCCGAACCGGCGAACCCTAGGCCGCCGCAGCAGAGCGTACACACTTAACTGCTTGCACCACCAGGCCAGCCCCCTACATGTGGGTTTCTTTGAGGCATCCTATATGAGTGTGGGGTCTGGAGTGTGTGGCGGGATGCTTGTAATTTGTCCTGACCTTGCTGGGTTGCAAGTAACTGGGAGAGGAATCCTGGGATCTTCTCTAGAATAGAGGTTCTTAACCTGGGGTGGGTTCTAGAAGGGCTCCCTACGAATCCCACTGCTATTGCTTGTCACATTTTGAGAGAAGATGTAAGTTCTGGGGAGAAGGAACCATCATGGCTTTCATCAGGAACTTCCCCGTGAAAACTGGTAGCTCTCAGGTAGGAGTTAGCACAGATTTTCTATAAAGATCCTGACAGTAAGTACTTTAGGCTTTGCAGGCCATGTAGTCTCTCTTGCAACTACTCAGCTCTGCCCTTGCAGTACTAAGGCTGCCGTGGACAGTGGATGAATGGCTGTGGCCGGATTTGGCCTGCAGGACGTTGTTTGCCAAATCCTGCTCTAGGCCGGGCTGCCACAGTGAGCTTGGTATTGGAAAGGTTCACCTTAAGGTGAAACTTTTGAGGCCACAGAAGTTTGTCTAGTTTGAGAGGAATCTGAAGCTTCTATGCAGTACAGTGGCCGCTAGCCACGTGTGGCTATTTAAATTTAAATTAAATAAAATCTAAAATTCAGTTCCTTGGTCACAATAGTCACATTTCAAGTGCTTAATAACCACATGTGGCTAGTGGCTACCATATTGAGTAACAGAGAACATTCCATCTTTACAAAAAGGTCTTTGGACAGCAAAGCGCTAGAGTCTGTATTCCTCTCTGATGCCACCACTGGGCAGAGAGTTCTGGAACAGTGGCCTCTTTCTGAACGTGGAGGAGGAAGGCTGAGGAAAAGTGCCCTCCTCTCAGTGTCAGGCAGGTCCCACCACTACTGCTTTGTTAGCGTAACTTGCCTTTTCCATCTGCCATCAGCCCTGAAGGACGACAACTGGACATAAAGAAGTCAAGCTTCAAAAAGGTAAGCAGGTCCCTTCCCTGCATACCACACAGAGAGTTGTTAGGGCCACACATGACATCAGCTGGAGGGACACTGGGGAAGCTCTGTCTACAGGGCTCAGGCTAGAGTTCAGCTTTTTGATTCCAGGTATAAGGGGGGAAAAGAAAACTCTCCCTTGGGCTGAGGGCGTCGGGTGGGCTCCCACTCCCTCCCTTCGACCTTCTGTGTCTGATCAGAATTTGGAGAGGCTTCACCAGTTAGTCTCTAGCAGCTTCTCACTCCCAACCCTCAGGGTGGGGGCCTCCCAGTTCCTAATTAGACGAGGGCAGGGACTGTCACATGTCCCTCCCAGGAGCTGCCTTGCTCGGTGTCTGGCCCGTCATAGGTGCTCAGTGTGTGTGTGCAATCGATGAGGTCCCCACCACCGGCCCTCTCTCCCTTAGCTCTCTCAGTTCCTGCAGCAAATGCAGCAGGAGCACATTATACAGGTGAAGGAGCTGAGCAAAGGGGTGGAGAGCATTGTGGCTGTGGACTGGAAACACCCGAGGTGAGTGCCGGGGGCCTGGTCACCGTAGCTCAGCTGGCCCCAGGGCACCTGGGCCACGGACTGGGAATTGCCGAGACACTAGTATAAATGTGTTTTTTCTTTCCTTCTGCTGGGTTTTAGGATCACATCTTTCGTCATACCCGAGCCCTCCCCGACCTCCCAGACTATCCAGGAGGGTAGCAGGGAACAGCCCTATCACCCTCCAGATATAAAATCCCTCTACTGTGTCCCAGCCAGCATGACTCTGCTCTTCCAGGAGTCTGGCCACAAGTGAGTTTTTGGAGAGCAGCCCTTCTCTGCCTGCTTGGTGTTCTGGCCTATAGCCCCTCTCAGCCTGAGTAGTGTTCTTCTGTGACTGGCAAACCTGCTCTGCCCCGTCCTCCTTTCCTCCCAGATCCAGCTGCAAGCCTCCTTCCCCTGGGAAGTGTCTCTGGACTAAGTGAATGAGAGAGTAGGTCTCTCCTTTTTCTACCTGTAATTATTCTTCACACAGTCCTGCTCGCCTCACTCAGGAAAAGGGAAGAAAATAGAGGAAAAGCCGAGGAAAGTGCCCTGCAGAGCAGGGAGTGAGTCTGGTATGTGCAGCTTGTCTCCTGGCACAGCATGAGTAACCCCCCGCTCACTTCTCACCTAGGAAGGGGAGCGTTCTCGAGGGTGGTGAGGTCCGAACGATCATCATTAACTACGCCAAGAAAAATGACCTGGTTGATGCAGACAACAAAAAGTGAGTGGATGGGGAGGAGAAGGCTGTGGGTTAGGTGTTCATCTTTAGCAGACGTAGACACATCTGTGGGGGATGTCTGGGATGGAAGGGCGTGCAGGAGGCCGAGCCTTTTAGGAATAACCGAAACCAGTGGTTTCTAAACCCTGAGCTTGGACACCTGGAGTTATTGTGTAGGGTGTTCAGGTTCATACATGCTGTCAACATTGACTGTAGACCAGACAAGTATCATCTCATACATACCCACTGTGGATTTTCAAATGCAGATGCTATTGTAAGGAATAAAATGCAAACTTAAAAAAATTTTACTGAAGTCATCATAGCTTTTTGGTATTCTCTATTTTCTTAGTAAGTGGCTATAGGAGGTAAACTACTAAATAAAGAGTATTCCATTAATTTTTTTTTTTACTTTCAAAAGACATCCTCTTGGGCCGGCTCCGTGGCTTAGCGGTTAAGTGCGCGCGCTCTGATGCTGGCGCCCCGGGTTCGGATCCCGGGCGCGCACCGAGGCACCACTTCTCCGTCCAACGCGAGACCGAGTCCCACGTACAGCAACTAGAAGGATGTGAACCTATGACATACAACTATCTACTGGGGCTTTGGGGGGAAAAAAATGAATAAATAAAATCTTTAAAAAAAAAAAAAAAGACATCCTCTTGATCAAAAAGTTGGGAACTACCGCCCTACTCATGGTTAGTAGCAGAACTGAGCCAAGAATCCTGGTCTTCGGATTTTTCCCATCTTCCTTCCCCTCCCACCGCCTGCTTCCCCTTTGTTCTAGGAAAGCATACTTGCACCTCCCATCCACAGGGTACATTGATTCATGGACTGTGGTCCCATAATTGGTTCTAATAATCCTGAATGACTATAAAGGACATATAAGAGATGAATCCTGAGCTGGTCCTTGGGTCAGAAGGGGCAGGGCTGGGATTTCTTTATTGCCTCTTCTTTCCTTTTAGTCTCGTGAAATTGGATCCTGTCTTATGTGACTGCATCTTAGAGAAAAATGAACAGCACACAGTCATGAAGCTTCCATGGGACAGTCTCCTGACCAGGTAGTAGGGATTGCTAGCTCCTTGCCAACATTTCTGTCCTCTTCCCTTACTATCTATCACACCTTATTATTTTTAATATTAAGAATTTCAAAAAGATTTAGGAGCAAAAAGAAGGCTGGGGGGAGTTGTCTTAAAGTCTTCAAAGGAAAGATTCTTATACTCTTTCTTTCCCACAGAACCAAAACTGAAAATAATTTATATCAGGAGTTAGCAAACTACAGCTGGGGGCCAAATCTGGCCTGCTACCTGTTTTTGTGAATAAGGCTTTATTGGAACACAGCCACACCCATTTATTTATGTATTGTCTGTGGCTGCTCTTGTGCTACAAGGGCAGAGTTGAGTAGTTGCAATAGAGACCATATGGCCCTTAAAGCCTAAAATATTTACTTTCTGGCTCTTTATAGAAAAAGTTTGTTGATCCTAATATATGTGATAGCAAGAGAAAATCTGGCTAGATAAAAGGGAGAAACTCCTCATGGTAAAGGTGTTCTCTAAAAGATGCATTATTGGAACATGTCAGGAATGCGAAGCAGCACTTTATCAGGCTGGGTGATGGAGAGTCTTGAGCAGGTGGTGAACTCTACAAGGCAGCCAGGGCAGATTTTCAGAAGGCCAGGCCAGTGGGCATTTTCCGGGGGTTCAGAACTGATGTTCCCTTCCCTGAATCAGTGGGTCCCGACTTTGGCCACACTTTGGGGATATGCTGGTCAGAGCTTCTGATTGAATTGGTCTGGGGTGCAGCTCCCTAGGTGATTTGAATGATTCTAATGTGCAGCCAAGGGCCAACCACTGCCTGCAAGATCAGCTTAGACCAGCTGCCTGCTAGTAGTCGGGTATGAGGAAGTGGTTTCTATTGGTTTTATTAGTCTACTATACATTAACTCCTGTTTAGGTGTTTGGAAAAATTGCAGCCTGCCCATCAAGTGACCTTTCCCGGACAAGAGCCCATTGTGAAGAAAGGCAAAATCTGCCCAATTGACATCACTCTAGCACAGAGGGCTTCTAATAAAAAGGTAATTTTAAAAAGACACAGTGTTTGAAGATGGTGATTTAATGTCCCTGCTAAGTTCTAGTCTCTCTCATGTGATTGGAGGTTTGTAGATAGGCCTCAGACACCTCAAAGGTTGTTTACGAAATACCTGTGTTTGTGTGATTGTTCTGGGTCCTGTATAAACAGGTAAAGCTGACTCCCTCACTCACTGCCCTCTAGGATTTTTGTGCTAGGAAACTTGCTAGAGCCTGGTTCCAAAGGTAAACAAGATTTTATTTTTAGTTTTTTCTTAGAACTATGTTATGGGCTTTCAGCTCTTACTCAGTCTGTTACCTCTTGGGCCTTGCTCAATGAAAATATCTTGTAAGGAACTGTTGAAGGAACTGAGCGTGTTTAGCTTGGCAACACAAAGTCGTAGGGAACAAATTACATCTGTCCTCAAATATGTGAAAAGCTGTCCTCGGGAAAAAGAGTGCACTTACTCTGTGTGCCTTACTACAGACAGAAATGGGAATCCTGGGTGGAAATCCCAAGAGGACAGACTTGGATTCAAAATAAAGAACTTTCTAGTAGTGTATGGTTGTGAGCATAGGCCTTGGGATTAGAGACCCGAGTTCGAGTCCAAGTCCTTTGCCTCGATGCTTGACCTTGAGCAAGTTATTTAATGTCTTTTTGCCTGAATTTCCTTATGTGAAAAATGGGGATAATACTACCTTATAAGGCACTGTGAGGATCAAATGAAGGAATATATGTGGTTGAAGCACTTAGAATAGTACTTGGCATGTAAGCATTCAGTAAATGAGAACCAATAATGAGAACCTTAATAGCCACTATTTCTGGAGTGTGTAATTATGTGCCCAGACTCTGTACTAAGCAATTTCTATGTATATTAGCTTATTAAAACACTAATTTTTATATTAATAATAGCAATTAGAATTGTCCAAAATTGAAATTGGGGTTTTCTAAAATAAAGAGTTATTTTCTGGTGGTCTGCAAGCAAAGATTAGGTGACCACTGGGGGAAGATGTATTCAGGGGTTCATGCATCAGGCAGGGGAGTGGAATAGATGTGACCTCTAATGTCATATTGATTCTGAGACCCTCTGGGGCTGGAGCCTCTCAACAGGCCTAGGCTCTTTGGAACTTTTATAGACTTTATTGAAAGCATCCTCCCTGACACACTCCTGACAGTAATGCATTTTACCATTGCTCATCATGAATGAGAGAGAACTGGTTTTAAGGAAACGGGGGGAATTGTGATTTTTAAAAAGTATAAGTACTGTTTTTCTTTTTTATCTCAAAGTCACATAATTGTCATTTGTGAAGTTGATGAATAATAGAAAAATGCCTGTGTTACTGATGAGATCCTTGGTATTAAGGAGTTATTGCTCATTTATTTTCAGGTGTGTTGACGGTTGTGTCTTTATGTTAAGAAGAGCCCTTATCTTTTGGAGATATGTACTGAAATATTTGTAGATGAAAGGATCGGTGTCTAGGAGGATTTGCTTTAAAGTAATATAGGAGTGGGAGTAGATAGGGATATGATGCGTCAGGGCTGGTCATGAACTGATAACTGTTGAAACTGGTGATGGGTACAGGGGAGTCATTATACTATTCTACTTTCATTTGTGTTTTAAATTTTCCATAATAAAAAAACTTTTAAAAAAGTATATGTTATATGTGGGATAGAGTATCTATCCCACTAAATATAGAACACATATATTGGATAGGGTCAAAAGAATCTATTTAGAAGCACAAAAATAAATTATTTGGATGAAAAGGTACCATGGTTGTAGGGATGGTAAATATAGGGGGTGAGAAGGCTGCTGAGGCTCCAGAAGGCCCTCTGGAGAGGAGAGCATGTGGTCTGCACCCACCATCAGTCTTCTGTCCCACAGGTGACCATGGTCCGGAACTTGGAGGCCTATGGTCTGGACCCATGCTCGGTGGCTGCCGTCCTCCAGCAGCGATGCCAGGCTAGTACCACCGTCACTCCTGCTCCTGGGGCCAAGGAGAGCCTGCAGGTCCAGATCCAGGGAAACCAAATCCACCACGTCAGCTGGCTGTTGCTCGGTGAGCATCCCCTCTGAAGAAGCAGAGACATTGGTCTAACTTGGCAGAAATCTTCCCACCAACGTAACTCACTCTAGTTATCATAATACATTTTTGTACATACATATATATGTATACATCTACATACATACATATACATATAGTTTTTAGCAGCCAACAAGAAGTGGAGCTAATGTTTGAATCAGATCCTTTGGCCCCCAGATTCAGTGCTTTCTCCACCATACTATTAGGATAGTTTTCTTCCTGGTTTTCCCTTTTTATAAAACGGTTGTTGAGCACCCAAACTGTACTAGGCACTTTGCTGGGCTTTTTGCGGGTGTGAGCTCTCTTAATCATAGTGAGGCTGCAGAACTGGTTGTTTTGCAGATGAGGAAACAGGTTCAGACAGGTTCAGTATCCTGCCCTGAGATATTCAACTGTTGAGTGCTGCCGCTGGGCTCTGAACTTCATTTGTCAGATGTCAGAGCCTAAGTTCTTTCTACCAACTCTCGGTCACCTTGTTTGTCCTCCATTCAAGCCACCCTCCTCCACGTCTCTGCTTGGGTCAGCTTTCTAAAACAAATGTGATCACATCTCTCCCCTCTAAACAACTCTTTATGCCTCTTCAGTGCCTTTAGAATCACTCCTAAGCTCAATAGACAAGACCCTCCCCATCCAACCCGTCTTCCATTCAGGCTCTCTCTGGCAGCTCCCACCCCTGTCCCAGGCCTAGGCCGTGCTGGTGTCCTCGCTGCCCCCATACACTATGTACCTTCACACTGGGGGCTCTCTTTTGTGCTGTTCGCTCCCTGGCATGCCCTCCCACAACCCGAATCTGCCTGGCCAAAAAGGCTCATTGGCCCAGCTCATGGGTCACAGGAAGTCTGTCTCAGAGCATGGCCCATTTTTTCTGTTTTCTTAAATTAGCATTTAAAAATTGCTAATGTAGCACTTTCCATTTGTGTTTATATTTCTGATAAGTGTCTGCAACTGGGCTCATTTTTTCTAATGTCTGAACCCCTGCTGGACTGAGCATCTTGAGTCAGAGACCTTGCCTTTTTCACTCTTTTGTCCTGCCTGGGGCCTGGCACATAGTGAATGCTCAACAAGCAGATTTATTCTGGGGCCTAAGGCAGCACCCAGCAGTTAACTTTAGAGGTGAGCCCCTGTAAGAAAGCGAAGAACCCCATGTGAGGTGCTGATAACAAATACAGAGGAAAATAGCCAAAAACATGACTGAACACAGACACGTTCTCTCTCAGGAGAACATTATAAATGCCTGAAATACACCTAGAAAGTAGCTGTCAGTGTGAAAACTGCTGAAATACACACTTCAGCCTCGAGGTGTAAGGATAAATGTCCATCCCAGAATGCATCCCACAGGAGTTGAGTTTGGGCTGGGTGTAGAAGAGCAGGTCACATGATGGGATCCTTTGAAGAGAGGCTTGACAGCAAGAGTGAGCACATGGTGGACAGGAGGGCCAGGAGGTAGCTGTGCGGGTCGGGGTCGGGGTCAGGGTCGGGGGCCAAAGAGGGACGTCGTGAGACGAAGGTGAAGCGGTGCAGAGCAAGCTCGTGCCCCACTGAGGAGTTTCTGCTTTTTGGATTGTAGAAGAGTATCAGCTTCCTCGAAAATACATCCAAGGCCTAGAAAAGGCCCCCAAACCTGGCAAGAAGAAGTGACAGACTCTTGTTTCATGCAGTTGAACCAATGGAAATCCAAGCTCTGGGCTGGTAATTTATATGAGCATTTTCAGCTTTTGCGAATAAAAAAATATAATTCTTTACCAAAATAAATTTTTATTCTAATCTAAATCTGATTTCCCTCATGTTTCCTCCACGTGGCTAAAAGATTGTACTAAATTTTCAGGGCAGCAGCCATTTTAAATGGACAGAAGAGGCTGTTGTGGAGTGCCTTTTCCATTCATGTAGTTTCATTGGTTCTGGTTCCTCCCCTGCTTTCAAGGCTGGACAGCCCTCCAAAGTTCAGGCAGGTGGGGCCTTCCTGTTTTTAAAGTCCCTCTACCAAATATGCCACAGCCTCTTGCCCATCTGTTCCTACTACCTATTATCCTAGCCCCAAAATAGATCCTTCACGTCTCTAAAGGGTTATTTATATAGAAATCAGAACCCAGCTGTTCTCTCTGTCATCAATTAAGGCAAAAGAAGAAAGGATTGGCCCTAAATTGTAGCAAAATTTAGACTAGACAGAAATAAGAAACAATAGAAGCACATTAGGACATGGGTTTCTACACAACAATGATTCTCCTCCAGCGTTGGCACAGCGCCACTAACAGTGTAAATTGTGTTGTGGCTGCAAGATGGTGGCTTTGTTACAGTGAAGCATCTTATCCAACAAATGCTTTCTTTAGCCCCAAACTTCTTAACCTGGGGCTCATGGAAGGGGTCTTTAGTTGGTCTTCCGAGGGTCCATGAACTCCCTGAAATGGTGCACAAGATTTGGTATGATCATTTTCCTAAGTGAGGTTACCATGCTTGTGTCAAATTCCCAACGGGATTACTTGATGCCAAAAAGTGTCAGAACCACTGCTCTGGTTCCTGCTCTGCTTGGTTCATGGAAGTCATTTCTGTGATCAAAGCTTTCCTTGTACAATAGGAAGGGGTAAGGGCTAACCTGAATTCCTTTAGAGTTCTTTGGTTTTACCATCAAAAAACAATTACACTTCAGTTTCCTTCTTTTTTTCTTTCTCATCTCACTTTTTTTTAAAACCGAGATAAAAAAGAATTGATTATCCACAATATTCACGAATTAGCCATCTGGGGCTTGACAAGGAGGAAAGGGATGGGTATGAGAATGTGTGTGTAATGCCTCCTACCTTTGGTTACTAGGCCCAGAGAAATAGGACTTTTCACTTGTGGCAAGTGCTATAAGTCAATGCCTTAATTTTACTTAATTTTTACCTCTGCTGTCATGAGCATGTGACCTGAGAAAGGGATTTCTAGAAATTGACCCCAAACAAGTTTCTAAGAGAACAAAACCTTTGGGCGGACAGTTTGATCTGAGGGAGTGCGTATGGACAGTAGTAATGAAATATGGTCCTTCAGTGAATACAGATAACATGGAGTACTTTATGAAGTTCTTTCACAAACATGATTTGTTTTGCACAACCTTGGAGGAATTGGAGGCCCAGAGAGGTTGTGTCTTGCCTTGTTAATCCCTCTAAGGACACAAAGCCAGTAAATGGTGGGCTGGGTCTAAAATGAACATCACCCTTAACTGTGGTCTGACCCAGAATTCTGCTATGATGCAGTGCTGTCAAGACCTGTGCTTTGAATGAATGGTTTTTCCAGAAATGTGACACATTTGCATTGAGTCATCTTCCCTCTCCTCCTTATGAACACCACAGCTACATGTAAGAAGACAAGAGAGGGTGAGGCTGTGCCATTCTTTTTTCTATGTGCTAAGCCAAGCAATTGATATCAAGGTCAAGCTTACAACGTTGAACTTAATCCCATGCTGTAACCAGATGAGTTGCAGTGAAAAGCAGAAACTGGTTCATTTCTAGGTTTGGGTAAAATTATTGAAAGATATACTCCTTGGAGGTCTAGGTGAACAGATGTCACAGACATGCCTCCTTCTTGGATAATTTTAAGAATGTCTATTGGACATGGTGTCCTCGCCCACAGGGAGATGGGGAGTGAACTGGATGAGCTCGGACGAGCCCCTGCAGCCTGTGGGCCCCATTCACTGCGTTGTGTGTGGTCAGTACTGGAAGGCAGCCAAGAGTTTCTTTTTAATGGCTTTATTTGGTTATTTCCATGATAACTGAGATGTCCCTTTGATGGAAGTTAGATAATGCTAAAGTGAAAGGACTGTTTTAGTCATCTAATCTAGTTCTCTTCCCCCAGGTGAGATGATCTTAAACTTTCAAAGACACATTCCTGTCTCTCTAATTTTTAAATCATTCCAGAAACAGAAGAAGCATTGCTTACCTCAGTAGCCTGTCCTGGTGTTCCAGAATGTCCCTCCTCTTTTCCAGCTCAACATCTCTTTCTATACTAAGTCCCCTCCTCTCCTGCTCTGCGGGGCCACCTCAGCAGCACCCTCCAGCCTGTGCATCTGGACAGTTTTCTCAACGTTATTTGAACAGGAGCCTTCATTCCTCTGTTCGCTGGCAAAAGGAGATCTGACTCTGCCAAGAAGTGTGTGTTATTCTCCATTCCCACCCTCTTGCCCAGCTCCCAATCTCCACAAGACGGTGAAGTTCAAGGAAGACATCTCCAGTCAGAATCATTTTTCAACAAGCTTTATTACTTTTTTTAAAACCGTATAAGAAAGACACTTAAAAAGAAAATATCCTCAAAACAAACATACTGGGCAACACAATGACAGAAGGCACTACCAGCAGTCATACCCACCTCTCGGGGGAAGGGATACTTTACACACACTATTTTCAGAGGTCTGGACCTCAGCCTAGGGCCTGGGTCTAACTGTGCTTAGATAAAATCTGAATTTTCCCATAATTTTCTTGTTTCATAAACACCCCTCTTTTTATATAGCTATCTGCCTTTATGTATATATGTACATGACTTTTTTTTCCTTCTCAAAAATAAAGTAGCCATCCCATCCAAGGGAGGTTCTCAGCAGCATTCACAGCATTACAGCAGGCGCCGTGCCTTCTATTCGTGTTAAAGACGTGCAGCATGAAGGAAAAAGGACTGTCCACTGACTCCCTTTACTATACAGCAGGGAGAGAGTTTTTAAGGGAGGGAAGTGATAAGGCTGAGCATAAGATGGCAGATAACCAGGGTTTTTGTGGTTTAAAAAATCTTTTCGAGCTGCTAGCTTCTCGTTTTTGCAGCTCTGAAGACTACACAGTTTGTATGACGAGGGCTCAGCATTCCTTCTGGGATCAGGGGCAGTGTGGACTCAGCAGGGTCAGGGAGAGAACTTCTGAGGCTACACAAAGAAGCTTGAGCTCAAACCAACCCAAGAGGGACCTGGGAAGGCAGAGGACAGCAAAGAAATAGTCTCTCAGAGGGTGGACTGGAAAACCAGCCCTCCTTTGAAAGTGAAAAGTCCATCTCCCTCTGCATTGGAGTGCCTTTGCAGTGCTGGCTACTTGCTTGAATTGTTTGGCTAGTTATTTTTAAGTTTGAACCTAAACAAGGAGCCAGTACAAATGTCGAGTTGGGAATCTGATCTGCCCTGTGCATGTGGTTTGACATCACTTCTTGGAAGTCAAAGCTCAGGACCTTAGATGGGAAGAAGGTCTTTGGCCCTTGCTCGCCCCATACTTGGAGCGAGGGCTCTCCTGGCCGTGTCTCCCGCACCCCCGTGGTCCACTTCCTGGCAGGGGCAAGCCAGCAGCAGAGCTTCAAGCAAACGCCCTGCTCCTGTCACTCTCTGAAAACAAAAAGGCACTGAGGTCAGCAGAAGGCCAGCCCACGGGCTCACAGAGGGAGCGCAGTGCCACGGGCTGGCCCGGCCTGTGGAACACAAGTGACTCCAAGCTGGCTGAGTTGGAGGGTCCCCCTCTGTAATGGAGGCAGCTCCTCTGGCAGCACCTGGATACTGCAGAGTCCCAGTGGGAGGAGAGAGGCAGTGCTGGAGGTGCAGGGGGAAACCAAGGCAGGCAGGCCCCCTTGCTCTCTGCTGGGGGAAGGCTGCAGACAGCTTGGATGCATTTTTCTGCAAGGCTTTTTGGCTTTCTCTGACTGCCTGATTTCCATACTCAGCGGGAGACTTTTAACATGGTGAATGGCTGGTTTCCCTTTGGTGGAAACCCAGGAGGATGATGGCAATATTAAATATAAATTTGTAACTTAAACAGTTGTTGACAAAGATATGGCTAAGTACCACATACACGCAGATATATATTTGGGTTTATATGTGCACAGACTTGGGCGATGAGGGTCAGGACCAGGGCAGGCTGCAGCTTCTCTGGCGATCTCTGAGCCAGCCTCAGCTTTGGTGCTCCTTACCTGAGCGTCTGGGACCAGTGGCTTTATGACTTTCCCTTAAGCATGAACAACGGGCACCTTAGGACAGTGGGGGACAATCCTTTCATGAGCATTATCTTGCTTTCCAGGGCTTAGCTCAGACCTGCTAAAGGAATATGCTACAATTTTTGACTCATAAATAAAGGTACTGTGGGTAGCAAATAAGAGAGAAATTGAAGAAGAATAAAAGCCAGAGAAAGAATACATATTTCTAAAACCTTTTTCCTTTTCTTTGCCGGCTAGTGTGAACGGTTCCAGTTTGGTGACGAGAGAGGCAACTATTTGGTTTGTGAAAGGCTTGCAGATTGCAAGAGCACGATGGTTGTTCATTCACATGAGCGCTGCTCCTTGGCAGTGTCCAGAGGGCCCAGCGTGGTGGTGGTGGTGGGGGGTGGACCCGACCCGGCACACACACATGTCCTTCAGAGATTCTGTGCCACATCTGGAACTGCTGGGCGGACACAAATGCACCCACCAGAGGCGTCCTGAGAAAAAGTGTCTGTTGCAAAATAATAATTAATAATAAAAATAAATCTGTGGGCATCGAGAGAAGAGGCAGCAGGACCGGTTAGCCAGGTTTGCCCTGAGATTCTCTTAAGGCCTCCTCCAGTTTCTGCCTAAACTTGTCATACTTCTTCTGCACTTGCTGGATTTTGTCCTGCTCCTCTTTTTCCAGGATTGTTAGGAAGTTCTGGAGCTCAGGGATGGAGAAGTCATCCCACTGTGAGGCAAGAGGGAGATGGGGGAGACACAGAAGAGGAGACGGGTTAGAAGTCACATGACCTGAGAGCCTGCTGCTTCCACCTCACAGGGTTTGCACAGTTGGCTGCGGAATGGGAGGGTCCAATGAATAAAGCTTAGGTGTCCCATGTCACACCAATGACAAATTTCAAATCCTGGCATCTCAGGACCAAGAGTTACTAGTTCATGAGTAACCGCTTTGGGGTGATCAGCGACAGGCTCCCAATATGTAGACCCTCAAGAGGCCCTTGGAGGAGAGCTGGACTTGGACTCAGGAGGCCGGTTTCAATCTGACCCCACCGTGTGACCTTGGGCATGTAACCCCACCCTTCTCAGCCTGTTTTCTCATCTGCCATGGAATTAGGATATCTACCACCCTTGGTGGGCAGAGCAGATCACGAGATAACATAACCTGTAAAGCCCTGCAGAGCCTGGCCGGCCCAGGCCTGCCCGGATGGGACCTGGTGTCTCAGGGCAGAAGGCAAGTCTGACTTCTCTCAGGCTGACCCAGGAGCTGAGGCCCTCATGGAGCCAGGGATTTCAACTCCTAAGCTCTTTGAGCACAAATAAATATTAAGGTTTATCTGGTTTAATCCCCACATTGGATAAACGAGAAAACTGAAATCCACAGAGGGAAGGTGACGTAACCATGAGCACAGAGCTTGTGACAGCAGAACTAGAACCAGAACCCAGGCCTGTGGGTGTTCACAGGGCCAGCAGTGTTCAAACATTTTCAGCGGAATGTTTTCGCCAAACACTATCTTCCGCACACTCCAACATATAAAGCAGATGGAAGCAGAGCTGCCTGGCTGAAGCCAGGTGAAGGGACAGAGCCCCGCCAGCCTAGATCCCCCAAATCTCCATGGTGACCCCTGAACTCTAGGCTTCCCCTGAACACAGTGTGACAAACACCATGAGAGGCTCCCCTGCTCTCGGTCACATGCCTCCACCTCCCAAGCACCGCAGACCACGGGGAGCGCCAGCCTGGTTTCACCTGTTACACCAGCAGACTGGACTCTGGTTAGCTCCCCTGGGGGAGCAAGGTCAGTCCATAAGAACCAGGGAGAGACAATGGCTCAAAAATATCTATACCCAGTGGAGCCCAGAGATGGAGCCTGCTGGGCCTCAGGCCATCCGGGAACAAAAACAACCTGGGCTGAACACAGGGAGTTTCTCAGTGCCCCTCCACCCTGAGTTTTCAGAAGTAAAGCACGTGAAATTCTTTCTTTCCAGAGGCCCTGCCAGACACAGGCCCTGACTTGCTCCCCAGGGCGCTTACAATCCTGGCTAAACGCTGAACCTTGCCCAACTCTCACCCGGCTCAACTTTCTCAAGTCATTTCCCTGCTGCTGCTGCTGCATGGCCCTGACCTGTGACAGGTAGTGAGGACAGCGCCCACCTGCACCCACCCAGTGTGCCCTGAGGGCTGGGTTTGTGCAACGGGCAGAGGCTCCCTGACCTACCTCCACCTCTCCAGTTTCATTCTCCTTCAGCACAAAACTGAGGACATCAGTGTCAGGCCCAGCGAGGAGGCGCAGGTAGAGGGGGCAGTCAGCCACGGAGAGTTTCTGGGAGAGCACTGCAAACCAAGAGAGGGGGCTGGAAGCTCATCTCAGAAAAGAAGGGCAGGGCCCGAGATGGGTAGGGCAGAATTGGAAACGCAGAGGTGGGGTGGTTATAACCAGAAGTAGCCATCCTTTCGCCTAATGAAACGAACCCGACAAGAATAGATAGGGTAATAACCTTTTATCTTGGGTGTCTGCTCAGAGTTTGGAGCATGTTTCCATTCATGTCATCTCCCAAAAGATTAGGAGTGGTGGGGCGGATGCCCTCCCATTCCACAGATTAGGAAGTGAAGCCCAGGGAGTGGTTTTCCTAAAGTCACATATGGAGGGCAGGGCACAATGAGCAGGCATGAGCTCCCTGTCGAGCCCTCTGCCCGGAATGCGTGTATGGCCCTTCCACAGATGTGATGCCACGTGACGGCTGGACTGCGGTGCCCAGGAGGAGTCCACCCCTCCCACCCAAGTCTGGCAGGGGTTTAGCGGGTGAGCACAGACAAAGTCAGGAAAGGCAGTTTCTGGCTGGGAGCTCGCTCTCTCATACCTTGCCCGTCCTTGTGTATCTGCTTAAAAAGTGCAAACTTCTGGGGATTGTCCACAACCATGAACTTCTTGAGCAGCCCCTGGATGACCTCACTGACCGTGGTGGTGCTGCTGATGTGCAGCTGCTTGATGGCATCGAGCGGCAGGTAGAACGATGTCCTCTTGTCTGTGGTGGCCGCCAGGTTCACTTCCTTGATGGCATCATAGATGGACTGGGGCCGGATCCCAGCAGGCACCGTCACCGGCCGCCGAAGTTTCAAATGCACTTTGATGAAACCCGTGTAGGTGCCGTCTTCACTCTGCGGGGCGGGGGGAAGTCATACGGGGTCAGGGTGGGCCTGTCTTGCATGATCCCTATCTGCCATTCTGGGCCACTGCCTGGGGGCGGGCGGGCTGCAGAGGCCTTTCCTAATAGCAGTGCCACCCCAGTCAGCCCCCCACCTGTCTCCCTGAGTTCCTTCCTGCCTCCGCTGACTAGGGGTGCTGGGAGGGGCAGAGACACGGTTTACCCCGCTGGGCCAGAAGGCCCACAGTATCCGCTACCAGAGAGGACCCCTGGGGCTGCTGGAGCCTTCCCTCCCAAGGGGTGCGGGCTGCCAGCCCTGAATCCCCGGCCACCAGGCAGATGCTGATGGCCTTTGGTGAGTCCCCACTCTAAGAGGCAGGGTCTGGAGTGGCCTCTCTAGTTTGCCCCTGTAAACCAGGGAGGAGCAGGAAGGCTCTGTTATAAGGTCCTCGGAGAACCAGCCCACTGGATTTCCTCCTGCATCTCCTTCCAAAAACCTGCAGCCTGCAAGACCTAAACCTGGGCCCATCTGCCACCGGATTTTCTGGTGCCCCCTCTGGCTGGAGCCCTAAAGAGCCAGTTGCCGCCAGCCACCAGCAGGGGGCAGGGTTCTTCTACCTTCTCCTCCCTGCCCCACTGAAGATGGCCTTTCTGAACCTGGCACAAAGTCGGTGGCCTCCCCTCTCTGAGCTCTGGACAATCTAAGGAGGCTCCCCAGACACACGCTGTGACTGCGCAACAACCAAGAAGGGGAGGAGGAGGGGCTGCGAACTCCCCTTGTTGAGGGCTTCCTGGGGGCCAACACTGGGCCCCTGGTCCTGTGTATCATTTAATTCCCACAAGAGCTCTGACAAATGGGCACTAATATCTCTATTTTACATTGAAGCTCAAAGAAGTTACGAAGTTTCCCAAAGTCACTGGTGAAGAGGCAAAAGAGCCAGAGATTGGATCTGGATCTTATTTCCTTAAAGCACGGGGTGACCTGACCACCCAGGCAATCAGCCTTCCACAGCCCTGAGGCCTCCAGAAACCTGAGGAAAGGGGAGGCACCTCAGGGGGTAGCCCCAGAATCCAGGGGCGAGCAGAGGAGCGGGGCCGGGTGGGGAGGGTGGCGGGGAGCGGGGGCAGCTGCTCACCAGCTTCATGCTCAGGCAGTCATTCTCCCGGCTGTTGTAGCTCTCGATCTTCTGCCTGATCTCCTGCAGCGTGGGCGGGGGCCGCGTGTCCTCCGCGGGTTTACAGACATTCTGGAACAGACACAGAAGTGAGGGTGGCTGTACGATGGTTCTCAGGATGACATAGGGAAGGACCATGCCCTGCCAAAGGCCGCTCTGACCAAGCATCGGTGAGCATGAGCCCCACGCAGTGAAATGAACTGCACCGGACTCAGGCTGAGAACAACCAGAGGTCAAATCCCAGCTGTGCCACTGCCTAGCCGGCCCCCCAGGGAAGTAACTCAAATCTCCCTAAGCCTCAGTCTCCTCACCTGTGCAATGGGAGCAATGCCTAACTCTTGGGCTTGTTGCAAGACCCGCGTGAAAGAGCCCGCACACAGGCACTGACTATGAATCTGGCCAGTCAGCAGAGCTGGGTTTGCTTACAGAGGGTTGCTATGGAAAACATGCATTTAGATGCTAAGGGAGATGTAAAACAAAATGCAAGCCGTGGTCCCTCTCCTCAAGGAAGTAACACTGGGGCTGAGAGAGGAATGTACAGGTGGTCCTAGTGTGTGCTGAGGGGAACAACAGCAACTCTCCCAGACCCAGAGCACCTGGGGCACGTGGACGTCAGCTCAGGCCCCTGTCACTGGCCACGGTGCCTCGAACAAAATAAGAAGTAAATATATATTTGTCAAATGAATGAGTGGACTGGTGGGGTCAGGGGGCTGCAGCCTTCTAATAATTGAGGCTGGGGCTCATGGACAGCACCATTTACTTAGCACCTCCTCTGGGCCAAGGACTTGACATGGATTATCTCATTTAATCCTCACGAACCAAAAGTCGGCGAGACAGAGTTTACTACCCACATTTTACGGGTGAAACAACCGAGACTAAGAGGAGTTCAGTAACTTGCCTAGAGCCCTACAGTCGGTACCTGCAGAACAGAAAGGAAGTTCCAGGCCTGTCCTGTCGCGTTCTTCCCACGACCTCACGATTTATTCTCCTCTACACTCCCCTGGTGCCCCTCTCCCCCTAAAGGGGGGAGGGCAGAACAAAGCTGAGGGGATGGACATCAATGTCCTTCACACTGCGGGCAGGGGCGTGGTTCAAGGGTGAATTCTGGGGTCTCAGTAACTCTGTCCCTCGGTCAATTCCCTGGATTTCTCTCAAGTTCACTGCACCCACATTCCCAGTTTTGTCTTCATGCTGTCTGTGTGTGGCTGGGAGTGCAGGAGCCATAGTTTGGGGGAATAATTGGCCAGTCAAAACCCCCCCAGAATTTGCCCAATCCCAGAAATCTAGTGGACGCAGAGCGGGTCAGAATTCTCCTCTGGCTAACGAGGCAACGGGCCCAGAGAGGCGGGGCAACTTCTCTGGGCTGCCTCCCTGACACCATCCAACACCGTCCTGTGCATGTCTCATTTGGGTGGGGAATTTCACAGCCGCCCTGCCATCACACCACCACCCAGCTGAACACACAGGGCACCCACAACAGCCCGCCCAGCTGTCCTCCCTTCAGAGAGCCTGGGAGACACGCCACACGCAGCAGGATGCCTTCACTTCCTCCTCCCCCTTTCCAATCCCACAGAGCTGATAAAATGTCAGCTGAGTGGCTGCCAAGGGGAGCTGGTGTGGCCTCCCACCCCTCAGCACAGAGATGAGCCGACACCCCTCTCCCATCATGGCATCTTCCCCTGGTCTGTCTGCCCCCTCTGTGCCCTTCCTCAGGGAGCCTGATAACAGCAGCACTGGCTAGGTACCTTCACATACCTTCTCTTACACACTATGTATGTTATTGCTATTTTACAGATTACATATCTGAGGCTCAGAGAGGTTAAGAAGTATGCCTGTGCTTCCACTGCTAGTAGGCATCTGAGTAGGGCCTGGAACCGAGTCCGTCTAAGTCTGGAGCCCATGTTCTTCTCAGTTCACCATGTGGCCTCCCCACGACGGCCGCTTCTGCCACTCCCATGATGCTCACTGAAATTCCGTGTCACACGGCTGGGACAAGCTGATGCTAAACCAAGGCCTACAAATTACGCGACCTGTGAAACATTCAGTCAAGGTGTAGCTGATCAGTGGGTCAGGCCCAGGGGCTTCAGGATCCAGGGGCACAGTGTCACCTGCAAAGATGGCGAGGAGGAACTTCTAACTTCTGGAGCGAGATGCAGCTGCTCGGATGCAGGGCCCACCCTTTTCCTACATGGCCACTCAGGTCTCTGGAACTGGACCTTGATTCCATCGAAGACCATCCACGGGGAAGCACTACCCAGGACATCTCCTGTTTGCTTGAGGTGAGCAGCAAGCAGTGTGAGCCTCACAGACTGTCTTCATTCACTGTTGCTTCATTAATCCAGGGACCTTCGCACTAGAGCTTCTCATTCCTTGTCCCTTCCCTAGGTCAGTTCCTGTAGACCCTAGCCCCAACCCCAACCCTGCTGGGCACATCTCTATGGGCCCAGATGCGCCTGGCCATGGCCCAGTCCTGCCTGCCCTCTGGGCGCTTCCAATCAGAAAGACCAGTGTCTAATTTCTATTACACATTCCATTCTGTCGGCCCCTGAAGCACGCAGGCTGCTGTTCCTCAGGAGTTAATACCTTTCTCATAAGTATCTAAAAAAAAAGTTAAATGATGGAAAGAAAACTCGAGAAGCTCCTGGAAGATCTCCTCTCATAGTTTCCAACTGAGCTACAGCCATTTTCCTGCAAGAAAAGGCAGCTATGTCATTCAAAGGCCAGAGTTCCAGGCCTGGCTTTGAATACAGCAAGAGTCAGAGCTGCCCTAACCTAAGATTTCTTCTTCCTGTTCCCCTTTCCTCCAGCGGACAACCCTCTATTCTCCCCCTTTCCCACCACAAACCTAGGGAAGTGACGCAAGTGGCCGTGGGCACCCTTTCCGGGACTGACGCAGAAGACAGCCATCCTGACCTCACCACCCCGTCTAGGAGTGCAGGAGCCCTGTGTGGCCAAGGCACCGAATCTCACACCCCAGGATGTCAGCACCCGGGCTCGGTGGCTGCTGCCCCCACCAGATCTGGCAGACACGATCTGACCACAGACTGAATGAGTCATCTCCCAAAGTAAGCCAGTCAGCCAGCCAGCCACAGCCACTCGAGCCCACTAATCCTTTCCCATCCAAGGGATGGCACAGAATCTAGACCAGTGGTTCCTAAACTCGGCTGCACGTGGAATCACCTGCGGGATCTTTAGAAATACAGTGCCTGGACCCCATCCTGGAGATTCTGATTTAATTGTCTGGGGTGCAGCCTGGGCATAGGGATTTTAAAAATCTCCCAGGTGGCTCTAATGTACAGCAGTGTTTGAGAAGAACAGGTATAGACGCCTCAGACCTTGAGGGCCCCCATGCAGCTGCAGTTAATACTTTGGCACACACAGATCTCCACCGCCCCAAAGGTTCACCTCAAAGGCTGTATCTGCTGTGTGAACAAGATCAATACTATAGTAATCTTCAGAGGAACAGGCAAAGACCCCATTTTCTATTCACCTGCCAGATTCTCAAGTCCTCAAAGTGAAAGATTTGTCACATCCACAGGTACAAAGCCAGAAATCAAGCAGATAGAGTTCTGTCTCTGGGGGTTGCCCAGGATGGAGACAGAATGGGGACTCACTCTGCTGTGCTTTAACACACACAGGCACCAGCCAGTGAGGTATCTCTCCTGGGGTTACACATCTCTGCATCTGGTGTGGAGGTCATCTGCTCTGACCAAGCCCCTGGCATTGGTGGCAGATGGTTTAGCTGTTCCCACTGGACCTGGCGCATCCAGGGCGCTGGTGAAAAATAGGTTTGTGTTCATATGTCCTAAGCCCTGGAGAGGGCTGTGTCCTCTCTTAGCTCTCGAGGTTACGGGGGTACAGCCACGTGAAGAGGCTCAGTGCCAGGGGTCAGAGCAGAGATGCCCCTCTGAGAGAGTGACCCTCAAAATTCTCTGTAAAAATACCCATAACAACAAAATAAAGAGGACCATCCCCTTGCAGTCTGGGGCCTATCTCCGAGCAGATTTACCCTAAACTGAATTTTACTTTATTTTATTTTAAGAAAAAAACCCAAACACTGGCTAATTCTGCATTCTAATCAATGACATATGTAAAGTCTTCCTTTTAGTCACTGGTGAGTGGCCCAATGCTCCAGGAAGAAGAGGCTCTGAGCGAACCCTGTGGTTTCTAGAATCCCCAGGGCGGCACAGGAAAGCTCCAGCAATGAGGGCCTCCAGGGAGAGGAGTGGGCTAAGGAGAATCAGGTACATTCTGGCACATGCGATACACTCATGCCCATTTTTTTCTTGACCTACATCACAAAAACCTCATTTTGCCAAAAATTTCACTCTCCCTCTTTTTAAACTTGTCAGCCTCTTCTTCCTCCCACTGCGTTCATGGTACCACTCCCGTCTGCCCACCTGAAGTCCCTTCCTCTGCCAAGGCTTCTCTGACAACCCCGGCCCTCAATGACGGTGATGATGGTCCTTAGTGTTCCTTACTGGCTGGTGATGTGCTAGGCACTCTTCCACCCTCTTAGCCTGTATTAGCTCATTTCATCCTCACCACAAGTTTATGAGGAATGGATTATGATGATGCCCATTTCACAAATGAGGAAACTGAGCCCCAGCAAGGTTAAAGCTAACCCACATCTAAAGCTAGCACTATACTATCAGGCACTTAAATATGCATCTACTTATATTAATCTCCAAGCAGACCATCCATCTTGAGTTTTCTTCCCAACTCGACTGAGCTCCTTAATGACTCACACCACATTTTTATTTCTTCTCTATGCCCGGTGGCACCAAGCATGAAGCAGATAATAATTACTGGCTCAAGAACCTTCATGGCCCCTCCGTTGCCTACAGGGGAAAAAAAAATCTCACTTTCTCCTAGAAATTACAGTGCATTTGGATTTCTATTTGGACCAAGCTCTGTGAGAGAAGCACCTCTGCCTGCCTTGTCCACCACACCATCCAGAGCCTAGCTCCAGCCTGGCACACAGCAGAGGCCCAGGCAATGCCTGTGGGATGAACATAAGCATGTGTTGGGGTTCTGACCCCATTACTAAGTCATCTTGAGATAGTCAGATA